CCTCCTCCTCCTCCTCCTCCTCCTCCTCCTCCCCGCGCGGATCTTCACGCCCACGCCCACGCGCCTCGTCGGCACGGCTGCGGCTGCTGCTGCGTGGCAGTGTCGCCTGCTCTGTCCCCGCACGAGCTGGGCGGTGACCGCCCGCTGACGGCGGAGGAGCCCCCCCTCGTGGCGTGCTGCGCGCGCTCCTCTCTCCGCGCGCTCTCTGCCCGTCCTCTGCGGCACGGATGCTGCTGCTGTTGCATGGCGTCGCTGGCTCCGTCCGCATACTGTCGGGCGTGCGCTAACATGGATTGCGGATCCGTCGATCTCTCGCCCCACAGAGCAGGGACAGGGCCCCCTCCGAAATATGACGCCGATGCCGGCTCGCTTGGCGACGGGGCACGCCGTGTCTGCACGGAAGCGGGATGCGCCGCGAATCCTCTGCGAGCCCTCCCTTCCTGCGGCCACCGACGCATGCTGTGGTTGCTGGCGACAGGGTGCCTTTGCCCTAGACCCCTAGACCCCGACCCCCTTATACGCCCTCTGCCAAAGGCGAGGAAAAAAGAAGTGTTCAGAAAATGACCGAGTCCGGGGCTATTGCTGGCGTTTTAGGTAACGTTCATACCTTTGTGGCTTGCCGATGATGCGCCATCTCTACGCCAGGCTTGACTGACCTGCCTGTGTGCAGCGCCGGCCGCAGAGCCTGCAGTGCTTTCCCCGCCTGTGCCCTGCGTGGCCGCCCCTTGTGGGCATACAGGCTTGACCTTGACCTTGGCCTTGAGAAAATTGCCGACCAAGAACCGCTCAAACACATCGGCTGCGCGTTAGAGTGACCCTGGGTAAGAGTGACCTTTGGTGCGCGGCTTTTGTGGGGGCGCGAGGAGGCCAAACACAAGCTCGCAATACGCTAATATCGCAACGAGCGCGGCGGTCGGGGCACCCCAGTGAGCGCGCACCAAAGGTCACTCCGGCGAAGGGTCACTCTTACGTCTAGTCGAACACACCCCCGGCCGGCATCCTATACAGGGCCCACCGGCGCCTCCACGGGGGGCATGGGCCGACGGCGTGGCGCCCGCAGTGTGCGCCGCGCCCGCGGCCGGCTGTGCGATCCAAAGACTGGATTTGGGAGCAGAGGCAGCTGCTGCATGTACTACGGTGCGGGCGCGGCCGCAAGAAACTCTCGCAAGAAACCCAACCCTTAGAACACGTGCGCGAGGTGCACCTGAGGGGAAGCCCGGAGCACCCTGAACGCAGCAGCTCCTTCAGCGGCTGCGGGAGGTCACCGCGCAGCGCGAAGAGCGAAGAAACCCAGGATACCCTGACAAGCAACATGTGGTTTCTTGATGCGCGCCCCCACTCCAGCACGGCGAGTATCCAACCAACAATGGCCATGAGAGAGACTCGCCGGTACTCGGTGGACGTGAGATGCCGTAGCCAGAAGGAGCTGTCACAGACGTGTCACCAAAAGAATCGAAAGCCCGAGGGGAGAACGAGGCCGCGGAGCAGAAGCAGCAGCAGGCAAAGGAGTTCGGGCGTGGACTAACCAAGCTCAGCGCAAACCTGGCTCCGCCAACGCATAAAACAATTGCGCGGCATTTTCCAGGGGGGGCTTCCCAATCCTGGCTCAGCCAATATGCAAGGCCAACTCCAGAGCCGCGAAAGGCTCCCAACCCCCAATTCAGCCAAAATCCAAAGCCGCGGGATCCTGCAGGATCCAGCGCTGGCGCCCTGGCTGAACCCCGTGTGCGCTGGAAACCGTTATCATGAGATCCGACGTTGCGAAAAAAGAAAGAATGACAGCATCACCAAAAATCACGACCAACGCCCTAGAACCCATCTTTGTGAGCTATTTTTCAAGCTGGATCGATCTGTGAGGGCCCAGGGGGGCGCAACCAGGCGAACCCGCCGTGAACAGAAATGCAACGCCATGATCTCGAGCCCGACATGCGGTGTCTTTTGTTTGTCAACACGTGCCCCCCCCCCCCCCCCACAAGTCCCGACCTCTTCCCCGGGGCCGTTTTTTTTCTCTGCCTGAGTCGGTGGTTGCCAATCCAGGGGCCTGGTGAAAGCCCAAAACGGCCAAAGCCTCCCGTCGCGATGTTTTTCACGACGCGAGCATGCCTGGGAGGGCACCTCGCCAGCGGAGGAGTGCGGAATGTGGAGGCCTCCCAGATGGGGTCGGAGTACACCCTGCGAAATGCTTAAGAAATCATGGGTTAAGAAATTCATAGTCTCAGAACTTGAATAAAAACCCAACGTTTCCGTTAAAATCTCAAGATTCACATTGAGACGTTAAGAATAATCGAGACTCTGGCCGAAAACGTAAGTTTTCTTAAGCATCGCCTAAGGTGTAGATGGGGTCGAAGGATCGCGCCGCAAGGGTCGAAGTAGATGGGGTCGGAGCAGATGGAGTAGATGGGGTCGGCGATGCGCTGGCGGCGTCGGCGATGCATCGACGACGTCGGCGTGGAGAAATTTGGGCCCCACATCGAGCCGCACCGCCGAGGCATCGCCGATGCATCGCCAGTGCATCGGCGATGCGGCGCGACCCACCGACCCCATCTGCTCCGACCCCGTCTAGGATCGGGAGCGGCCAAGAGGGGGGTGTCCAAGAGGGGGGATGCAAATCATGACCGGCGGCATGTTTGCGGCCCAGCGGGGGGGCCAGAGACGTAATGACATACGAAGAGGCGCCATGAAATCTGAGGAAATATCATGGCCCCCGCCATGATATCCACCCCCCCCTAGTCATCACCCCCCTCTCTGCCGCCCACGATAGGAGGCCCAAAGGGGATGCCCCGGAGCCCCGTCTCGTAGTCCCGGGCGTCCAGGCGCCACCCCAGGCCGGCCAGCTGGCCGTAGGCCTGCCACAGGGGCTCGGGCCGCGCCTCGTGGCGAGGGGGGGGGCGAGGGGAGGGGCCTGAGGACGCACAAAAGTACATGTACACAAGTATAACAGGAGTCCTCCCCACTGCCCATATGTTTCCCAGATTTTCTGCGGCATCGACGATTCATTGTGTCTGTGTGGTTCTTCCCTCCTGAAGGAGGAGGGGACGGGGGCGGCCAAGCGAGGCGGAGGAGGGAGGAAGGAGGAGGGGCCACAAGCACTTGGCTTCGGGACAGCGCCAACTCGTGCAGGACTCGCCATCGCTCGGACGTCCCACTCCCCGTGCACTGTTTGGCTTCGCGCGCGGAGATCTGTCGCAAGGGGATCCAGGATGCTTCTCGATGGTCCTCGCCAAGAACAAATGCACACGTCCGAGCGATGCCAAGAAAAAGACTGGTGCAGAGAAGCTCGCGTGCCCGTCGCCGGCGCGACGGGCACCCTCCTGCCACCCGAGAGGCTGGGCGCGCGAGGTGCACCGGCAGAGCTGAGTGCACGGGGCACGCGGCAGGACACAGGACTCCTCCGACGGCAGCGTGGCCTCCAACAAGGGCACCCTGCCTTAGGTCGGGCGCGGCCCCCTACAGGCGGACTTTGGACGGCAAATCAAAAGTGGTCAACCGAAACACCCCAAAACGACGAAACAATGCTCAAAAAGTCGTCCCCCGCCTATGTTTGAACTGTTTTCGAACATGCCTCCTGTAGAGGGACAGGCCCGACTTAAACCCTGCCCCGGGACTGCAGAGGTCGCGGCGCGCGATGCACAGGGCGCGAGAAATCCCCCTTGAGTTTGGGCAGGGTCGACCTACAGTCGGGGCGTTGACCTAAGGAACCCTAGATAAGGAACGAGGCCCCTGCTTCCCATAAATCAGAGCGCGAATTACCTCCCCCGCTTTCGCTGCCAGGCAAAACCAAGCCATACCACGCGCCTCCTCGTCAAGCGGCCTGACCAGTACAGGCCGCAATTTGGCATCGTTTGGTACCTCTTGGAAGCGAGGGTGGTCAAAAGCGAGGTAGGTTTGTTTTCCCCCGAATAAAGTCAACCTCGATTTCCCATGGAAAACCTCCGGAAAACCCGAGGCAAACTGTGAAACATCCAAGGAACACCGAGCCCCTCCCCAACGAAAAGGGTTCCTCCTTCAGCGCCCCGACTGTATACAGATCTGGGCCGACTGCAGGCTCAGCCTGCCGAGAGAGGTCACCGGCGAGCCAAGGGAGCAAACGCAGCGGTGCAACACGCGAGCAGGCCGGGCGGAGGAGGAGGACAGGACAGGACAGGACATCCGCATACCCAGACCTCCAACGCATTGAAAAAAACAAGACGGAGGTTTTTCTCGAGTTTCGGCCTCTGGGGGCTCTCGCCGGGCCCCGGGACCGTCAGAAAACGGCTCGGGATGAAAAACCGGTCCTGGGGAATGGGTCGAGACTTCCGGGGGCCGCGCACTGAAAAGATCACGACGTCGGATCTCTGGGTAGGGGGGTCCACGTCAGCGCGCCTGGACTGGTGCCCTGCGCGCGTCTGGCACAGTCCCCCTGCGATTTGGCTGCGCAGCGGCCCTGGTTTCTCGCCAGGGCTTATTTCTGAGCTTCTTTCTTCCCCCCCCCACTTCCATATTTTTCCATATTTTCCTGGAAGTGGACGAGTACTTGTTCCCTGCCTAGGCTGGCAGGGGGGCACGCCCCGAAGCTTCGAGGGGTGAGCTCGCGAGGTGGCCCCCGCAGGAGGAGGAGGGCCGCGCCTCGCGGGAGGGGAGGGCGGGGCGTCGGAGGTGAGGGCGGCGGGGGGCGAGGGGGAAGGAGGCCCGCAGCTGCTTCAGCACGGGCTCTCGAAGGCTCGATTATTTCGCCTTCGGATTTTGCATGTCGCTCTCTCTCTCTCTCTCTCTTGCCCTCTCTCTCTCTCTTCCCCCTCTCTCCCTCTCGCTCTCTCGCTCTCTCTCTCTCTCTCTCTTTCTCCTTCTCTTCCTCCCTTCAGAGAACCGATGCACCAATGGCTCCACGACGTGAGACCGAGGACCGCCAACAGACTTACAAAGGTCCACGCGGGGGGGGGAAGGGGAAGAGGTCAACAGCTGCTTAAGCACGGACTCTCGAAGGCTCGATTATTTCGCCTTTGTTTTTTTTGTGTGTGTGTGTGGTGTGTGTGTGTGTGTGGGTGGGTGTCTGTGTGTGTGTGCGTTTCTCTCTCTCTCTCTATCGCCCTCTCTCTCTCTTTTCCCCCCTCTCTCCCTCTCGCCCTGCCTCTCTCTCTCTCTCTCTCTCTCTCTCTCTCATTCTATATTTATATATTTATCTCTCTCTCTCTTTCTCCTTCTTTCTCTTTCCAGGGAACCGACGCACCACTGGCTCCACGACGTGAGACCGAAGACCGCCAACAAACTTACAAAGGTCCACGCGGGGCTCCTGGGTCGGCGTAGGCCGCGCGCGCGCGGGGCGGCGTCGGAAGCGCCGCAAAGGTGGCTCGAACGGCGGCCCAAGAAATCCGCGCGTACCTGTGCTGTGCTTGCTGTTTGTGGTCCTGTTCGGCATCTCAGTTTTCCACACTATTCATCGCACGATTGTTGCTCTGATTGGGGATATTCGTGAGAGAGAGAGAGAGAGAACACAGAAGCATAAAAACAAAGTAAACAGGGAGTACATCTACGAAGACGACGATGGCCCAGAAAGTATATTCTACTCGCGGCGATCATGCCTTTTTAGGGGGGCGGGGAGGCGCGGGGGGCATAACGCAACGCCCCCGCCCCACACCGTGACATACGATGGTGCCCGGACGCACTGCGGCACTGCCGAGAGCGCACGAGGGGGGGGGGGCGGAGCGTCGCGTTCTGGGGGGAGGGGGGTGGGGCGGAGCGTCGCGTTATGGGGCGGACCGTCGCGTTGTGGAAAGGGGGAGGGAGGGGGGGGACGCATAACGTTAGGTCGGGCATGTCCCCCTACAGGCGGACCTTGGGCGCAAAACTAAAGATACTCAACTCTGAACTAAGCAGACAAATGTTATCACAAAATCCCCACATTATGTTCGGACTACTTGTGGCTTTCCCTCCAGTAAAGACAGGGGCATGCCCGAGTTAAGCATAACGTACGATACCCCCAGCTTCGCACCCCCTGTCTCGACGAGGCTCCCGAGGCCCCCATGGGGGAGCTCTCTGGCAAAACCTCCCTCCAAAAAACCCTCTCTTTGGAACCCTCCGGCCAGCGCCCTGCAGCAAACATAGGGGGGGGGGAGCAGGGCACGGGCGGGCGGCCGCGGGGGAGGGACCCGGGGGGGGGGGGGGCGCGGAGGGGGAGCAGGGCACGGGCGGGCGGCCGCGGGGGAGGGACCGGGGGTGGGGGTGGGGCGCGGAGGGCACCCACAGGGCGAGGCGCGGCGCCTTGGAGCGGCCAGCCAGAGCTCCGCCCTCCTGGCCTCGGGCGCGGGGGCGGCGTCACGGCCACGCCCAGGGGCGGAAGCGTCACTGCACCGGCCTTGCAGACGTGCTGCAGCGGGCTCGCGCGTGGATTGCCGCGTGGACTTTTCCCCGAAAGCAGTGAAGTTCGCGCGGACTTATCTGTTGGGCCCTCAGCCCTGGCCAACAGAGCCGCACGAAAGTCACCTCGGAATCCGGAGCGAAATTCTCCAGGACACTCCGGGCCCATCCTGTCGTTTTCTGGGCGACATCTGCTGTGCGAGGTCGGCGCCATGAGAGGCGGAGGGCGGGCCAACCGACGGGGAGGGGTAAGTCACACGGAGGCGTCCGCGAATCCGCTGGCGCGGCGGGCCCTCCCGGCGCCTCGGGGCGCCCTCCGCGCGGAGAGCGGCGCCCGCCGCGGGGGGGGGAGGGGCAGGGCCAGCCGCACGCAGCAGATCTCCCCCGCATCCCCCCAGCCTGAAGTCGGGCCTGCCCCCCTTCCAAGAATAGCCTGGGGGACGATGTCTTGAACATTTGTTTGCCATGTTGGTGCACTGTCTTGACTATTCTTGATGTTTCGCCCAGAATCCGCCTGTAGGTGGACATGCCCGACCTAAAGCCAGTCTCCTGGGCCGCGACCCCCCTGGTGCGCGTTTTCTCTACCGTGTTGCACGCTATAGAGCCGCGAAAACAAAGAGACGTTGCTGTGGCGTTTTCAGTTCTGGTGGCGTTGTTCCCCAATCAGTGCTTGCACTGAAGGGGTCCTAGCGGAAGTTGAAAGATTTGGCGAAAGTTTCCCGCCGATTTTGGTGGCCAGCTGGGTTCCCAGGTTACCGGTTCCTGGAATTCCAGTTATTGGTTCCGGGCCGATTTCGGTGGGTTCTGGGTTCCCGGGCTCCCGGGTTCACGGTCGATCTCCTCAGCGGAAACCATCCACTGATGGGGGTTCTCCTCTGGCGTAATTCGGCCCGTCGCCGCGCACGGATCCACATTGTTGGGGCGTTTTTTGCTTCCTGGTCGAAGGCTGCTCCTTGCCTCCCCTGCCGTCATCACTCCCATGTCTCGTGTCTGCTTCCGCTCTCCCTCGCAGAGCTGAAAGCGCAGAACAATATTAAAGTGAAATTAGGACACACAAATAAATACACACAAATAAAAAGAGTCCCCATATTTTCCCATATTTTCTGGGTTTTTGTCTTCCCCCCCAATTCCCATATTTTCCCATATTTCCCGGGAATCGAGGATTAATTGTGTCTGTGTTTTTTTTCCCTCCTGAAATATATTATAGGCCACAACGTAACCAAAAGTCCAGCGGCCCCAAGAGGGGCCATCGGCCGTCGGGCCCGGAGGCCCGACGCCCCCGGAGGGGCTCCGAGGGCGGCGAGCAGTCGGGCCGAGAGGGCCAGGGGGCTGCGAGGACTGCACGGGACGCACATGGACACACTAGTACTACATGTCCTCCTTGGAGGCGCGCGTCCGACCCGAACATATAGGATACCCATCTTGTAGTACATCGTTTCCCGAGCGGCGTGGCCAGAAAGCGCCCGCCACGACGTACATACTATAAGATGTCTCGGTGCGCGCGTCGCCCCTGGGGGGGCGACGTACATATAGTATAAGTATGTTGGGGTGTTGCCGACTGCACGCCACGAGAAGGATCTGAGGACGTCGTAGACGGCAATGCTCGGCAGTGCAACCGACTGGTCTGGAGACGCTGAAAGCGCGTGGCTAAAGGGCGCAGAACACATGACAGTTGTTTTGCGTGTTTAGTCTTCTCGTTGGGGCCTACAACGCCGAACCAATGATTTCCAACGCCCGAGCTAAAAACTGTTTACAACAAAACTGCCTGGGCAGATGTAGAAAAAGAACCGAGCCCATGGATACGGGAAATGTTTCGCGGATGCCCCCGCGGGACGTATCCATGCAACCGCGTATCCACGGGACCGCACCCCAGAATCCAGACCGCGTGGGCGTGGATATGGATATGTCCGCAGCTCGTGATGGATGCCTGTCCCTGCCTTTCCGTCCGACCCTGTGGTCCGGAACTTCTGCACAGCGGGTCGTGGCGGCGGCCCCCGCGACACGCTGTGCCTTGCAAGTGGACTGCGTGACGCTCCGTTCCGCGGGGCGGGAGGCCGGGAAAGGCTCGGGACGTTGACGCTCGGGGACCGGGACGTGGACAGCGCCGCGCCGAGGCACGGTGGTCCGAAACCGGTGTCGCGACACGCGAAGCCAAAGCTCCCGCCTGCCATTCCTATCCCTACCCTTCTGTCCAACCTTTTTGCCCAGCAAGCGCATCTCGTGGAGAGAAGGAAGAGGAGGCGAAACGAGAAGGCGTGGCGACATGCGACGACCAACCTGCAAGTCCACTGGTCACACTGTCCACCGCGGGCTCCAGAAATGGAGCATGGAGCGACAACTACGAATTAACTCCCGAAGAACGTATCAGCGCCACAAGCGAGGATGAGGACCAGGGGGGGCAGAGGGGAACGGCAAAACCTTCTGTCCGACAGTGCAGATCCTGGCCTCGGACGAGGCCTATATGGAGCCCCCCCGATGGCCTCTGGGGGCGGCCGGCTGCCGTCGCTGGTGCCGTTGAAGCCAGTCTGCGCTCGCAGCCGCTCGGCCCACCTGGCGGGAAAAAAAGGGCCCGGGGGGAACAGACATAAACCGGCACACAGGACAAGACTCCTGGCATGTGTTTCATAATTTCATGGGTTTCTTCTTCCCCGCAGTTCATCTTACCCAATTTGGGGGGCCGAAGGGTCGTTCACTCTCCCTGGGTGCGTGGCTGAAATGGAGTTCCGCGGTGCGGATTGTTCTTGCGTTGTTGTTGTGTTGTTGTTGCTGATGCTGATGTTTTTGTTGTTGTTGTTGTTGCTGTTGCTGTTGCTGTTGCTGTTGTTGTTGTTGTTGTTGTTGTTGTTGTTGTTGTTGTTGTTGTTGTTGTTGTTGTTGTTGTTGTTGTTGTTGTTGTTGTAGTCGTCTTCCCATTCGCGACCTGGCCCGCGACCCACCCGTGACACGCCCGCGAACCATCTCCGATCCACCCGCGACCCACCCGCGATCCACCCGCGACCCACCCGCGACCCACCCGCGACCCACCCGCGACCCACCCGAGACCCACCCGCGACCCACCCGCAACCCACCCGCGACCCCACCCGTGACCCGCCCGCGACCCTCCCGCGACCCATCCGCGACCAAACCGCGACCAACTCGCGACCCACCCGCGACCCCACCCGCGACCCACCCGCGACCCAACCGCGACCCGTCCGCGAACCACCTCCGACCCACCCGACCCACCCGCGATTCACCCGCGACCCCACCCGTGACCCACCCGCGAACCGCCCGCGACCCACCCGTGACCTGCCAGCGATCAACCTCCGACCCTCGCGACCCACCCGCGACCTTCCCGCGACCCCACCCGCGACCCACCCGCGACCCTCCTGCGACCCATCCGCGACCAACCCGCGACTCACCGGCGACACACCCGCGACCCCACCCGTGACCCACCCACGACCCGCTCGGGACCCACCCGCGACCCACACGCGCCCGCCCCCTCACACTTATCCGCAACTGCGGGGTGCTACATATTCTCCCACACTTTCAGAAAATCCGCTTTTATTTATGTGTGTGCAGGCTTTTCACTTCGGACACCTGGGGGCTGGAGCAGGCTGCATCGACCGCTGCTCCACACTGACTCTCCATCTAAGACGAAGTCAGGACCGGGCCAACATCGGACTGGAATAAATCAGGCATCTCTGCGATCTGGCAGTTCTGGAGGATGCATCTGGCGCCACGGCCGTTCCACAGCGCTCTGAACGCTAATGACAAGGTTCCAGAATGAGAGCGTTCCGGAAAGCTCTGAGGGCTGGAACGTATCTATCCTCGTCCCAGCCCCGCCCGAGTTACCCCCCCCCTTCTCGGGCGCACGCGAACTTGGATTACGGATCCGTGGGTCTGGATAATGGGCGCCAGATCCACGGACTGGGGAAAGCACCCCCCGACCCTTTCCCCGGGACCGGTTTTTCATCCCGAGTCGTCTTTTGACGGTCCCGAGTCCCGGCGAGGACCCCCCGAGGCTGCAAGTGGCCACAAACCTCCCGCCCCGACTCTTGTTACACGCCGCGCTCAGGCCTGGGAGGGTACCCGTCCTCGCCCCGTGCCCCGCCCGAGCGTCCTCCTCCCCAGAGATCCGATGTCGTGATTTTTTCAATGCGCGGTCCCTGGAAGTCTCCACCCATTCTCCAGGACCGATCTTTCATCCTGAGCCGTTTTTTTGACGGCCCCGGGGCCCGGCGAGAGCCCCCAGAGGCCGAAACTCAAGAAAAACCTCCGTCTTGATTTTTGTCAATGCGTTGGAGGTCTGGGTCTGCGGATGTCCTGTCCTGTCCTGTCCTCCTCCTCCGCCCAGCCTGCTCGCGTGTTGCACCGCTGCGTTTGCTCCCTTGGTTCGCCGGTGACCTCTCTCGGCAGGCTGAGCCTGCAGTCGGCCCAGATCTGTATACAGTCGGGGCGCTGAAGAAGGAACCCTTTTCGTTGGGGAGGGGCTCGGTGTTCCTTGGATGTTTCACAGTTTGCCTCGGGTTTGGGCGGCCGGGGCCACCGCTCGTCCGGCCGGCCGTCGCGCCACACGCGCCCGCCGTTCTCGAAGACCTCGAAGTCCGCGGCGGGCAGCAGCCCCCGCCGCGCCAGGTAGGTCGAGGAGCGGGCGCCCGTGAGGGGCCCGAGCCCCTCCCGGCCCCGCCGGCCGCTCTCGGGGGGCAGGACTTCCCCAGACGCCCTCGAGCTGCGAGCTCAAAAACTCACCCCGAGATCCTGGCGTTGCAGTTTTTCTCCCCACGGGCGTTGCCGCTCGATTTCGGGCCCCCGAACCCTCACAGATCGATGCGGCTCGAAAAATGGCCCAGAAAGATGGGGTCCGGGGCTCTGGGCGTGGCTTTTTTGCTATGCTGCAATTGTTGCGCAACGGAGGTCTGTCCCTATTTTCTGCCTCTGGGGGCCCTCGCTGGGCCTCGGGACCGTCAACAAAACGACTCGGGTGGGAACACCGGCCCCAGGCAATGGGGCGAGACCTCTGGGGGTGGACGCTATGAAAAAGTTATGACGTCGGGGGTCTGACACAGACGTACGCGCCTGGCCACGTGCAACCGAAAGTCTCGCGGAGCCTCATCTCTGTCCGAGATGCGCCGTGACCGAAAACTTGAGCCCGAAGATCGGCCATGTTGTGGCCGGAACTAGCGCCCGAAGTTTTCCGGCCGCGCCCCACTGCGACCAACATACTTGTCTCGAAATCAAGACGATGTTCAATCTCGGTCCCACTTTCGGTCACACCACGTGTTCGGTCACAACTTCGGGCACGGTGTTGGTCACACTTTGATTTCGGTCACCTACCTTTCGGCTGATAGTGGCCAGGTGCCTTCAAAAATCTGACCCCGCGTGCCCCCCCCCCAGTTGAGCATAAAAGTGAGGGGGCAGCGGGGATGTGGGCAGTCTGCGAGGCTCTGAAGACGCCCGCCGCAGGCGCCTGTTCCTTACAACTGGTGCAACGAGCCCGCCGCAGGCGCCGGCTTTGTCGTTAAAGCAGTGTGGGTGGGTCGCGGCGGGCCGCGGGCGCGCCCAACCACGTGCAGCCAAAACTACGATCAATCGGCTACACGCAAGGAGTGACCCTGGGTAAGAGCGACCTGTGGTGCGCGGCTTCTTGAGGGCCGCGGGGGGGCCAGAACCGAGCGCGCAAGACGCTACTATCGCATCGCGTTCGGCGATGGGGTGGACCCCATGGGGCCCGCACCACAGGTCACTCCGACGAAAGGTCACTCTTACGTGTACTCGACTCTAGACAGTTACGACCCCTTATGTAACCCGCCCCTGCAGCAGCTCGCCAGCGCCGTCACCGTCGCCCGCTTCGTCCGTGTCCGTCGTCGTCACTGAAGGGGCCCCGGGACACACAAATAAATAGACACAGGTAGCAGGATTCCAAACATTTTCCAATGATTTCTAAGTTTTTATCTCCTCCCCCACTCCTCATATTTTCCCTTATATTCTCTGGGAAATCGACGATTAATTGTGTGTGTGTTGTCCCCTCCTGGATCACTCGTGTCTTCCCCGGGTCTGTGCTTCGCCGGCTCGGAGCGGGCCTTGCCATCGCTCGGACGCCCATCCCCCGTGCACTGTTCACTGTTCGGCCTCGTGCACTTTTTTCCGCAAGACGATCCAAGGTGCTTCTCCATGTCGGGGAGACGCCAGACTCGGGTACGGGGGACTCGGGTTGGCCTGACGGGGGCCATCATAAAAATGGCGAGACCCAATATGAAGTTTGACGCGGGCTCACGCTGCAGACATCCAACGAAAACGGGACCGTCAAAATCCAGAACGCGCTCGTCAAAAACAAGCCGGCAAACCCGAGTTCCGGCTTACTCGAGTCTTACGTTTTCCCGACCATTGTCTTCGCCGAAAAGCACACACACGTCCGAGCGATGCCAAGGGGCCAGATCAACAGGCCATCAACAGACGTCGGCTGCCGCATCGCATCGGCCCCGCGCCAGATCGGGCGAGGGCCGAGTCGGGTCGGGTCAGGGCTAACTCGGGTTCGTTTTTCGAGAGTCCGAACCCGAGCTACCCCGGGCCCGAGTTGCCCCGAATAACTCGGGCGCCCAGAGCCCAAGATCATCAGGGGTAACTCGGGTCAGGGCTAACTCGGGTTCGTTGTTCGGGAGTCCGAACCCGAGCTACCCCGGGCCCGAGTTGCCCCGGATAACTCGGGCGTCCAGAGCCCCAGATCATCACCGACCTTGCAGACATGCTGCAGCCGATTTTTACTTGGATTTCTGTCAACGCAAAACCCCGAAACTGGCAAATGAAAAACGGAGTGAATTTCGCGTGGATGTTTTCTTAGTCTTCCTTCCTGGCCGATAGAAACCCGCATGAAATTCATTTCGAAATCCGGAACGAAATTCTCCAGGACACTCCGTGCCCACCCGATCGTTTTCCGAACGAACTCCGCTCTGCGATGCTGGCGCCATGACCCTCGAGGGTCCGCGCAGATTCCTCGCATCCGCGCTGGGCCTCCCTCCCTGGGCTCTGGGCGCAGATCCAAGAAATCCACGCGGAGCACCGAAAAAAGTATGCTTCTGCCATGGCTCCTTCGCCAGAGGGGGCCGCCCCCGCATCCACGAGATGCCTCCTGCCCCGGGGCGCGAGCCCCTCCCCCGGGCAACGCACGGTCGTGGAGAGCCCCGTGGCCAGCAGCGGGCGCCGCGGTGAGGCTGCCAAGTCTGCGGGGCCCGCAGGAGGCCGACAGGAGGCAACATCGAGACGACATTGGGCCGATACGAAGCGGAAATCTCTGAGAATCGGCGGGTTTGGAACTCTATGGGGCGCCGCGACCGTCTCAGAGGGTTCCAAAACGCTCTGGAAAAGATGTATCTCGATTCTAGGCCCGTGCGACTCGACCCAATCGTCGTCGTCGCCGCCGTCGTCGTCGTCGTCGTCGCCGCCGTCGTAGTCGTCGCCGTCGTCGTCGCCGTCGCCGTCGTCGTCGTCGTCGCCGTCGTCCTCGTCGTCGTCGCCGTTGTCGCAGTCGTCGTCGTCGTCGCCGTCGTCGTCGCCGTCGTCGTCGTCGTCGTCGTCGTCGTCGTCGTCGTCGTCGCGGTCGTAGTCGTCGTCGTGGTCGTCGTGGTCGTCGTCGTCGTCGTTGCCGTCGTCGTAGTTGTCGCCTTTGTTGTCGTCGTCGTCGTCTCCAGGGTCGTCGCCGTCGTCTACGACTTCGGCGTTGTCGTCGTCGTCGCCGTCGTCGTCGTCGTCGCTGTCGCCGTTGCCGTTGCCATCGTCATCGTCGTCGTCGCCGTCGCCGTCGCCGTCGCCGTTGTCGTCGTCGTCGTCGTCGTCGCCGTCGTCGTCGCCATCCTCGTCGTCGTCGTGGTCGTCGTGGTCGTCGTCGTCGCCGTCGTCGTCGTCGTCGTAGCCGTCGTCGTCGTCGTCGTCGCCGTTACCGTCGCCGTCGTCGTCGTCGTCGCCGTCGTCTTCTTCGTCGTCGGCGTCGTCGTGGTCGTCGTCGTCTTGGTCGTCGTCGTCGTCGTCGCCGTCGTCATCGTCGTCGCCTTGTCGCCGTCGTTGTCGTCGCCGTCGTCACCGTCGTCGTCGAGGTCGTAGTCGTCGTCGTCGTCATCGCCGTCACCGCCGTCATCGTCGTCGTAGTCGTCGTCGTCGTCGCCATCTTCGTCGTCGTCGTCGTGGCCGTCGTCGTCGCCGTCATCATCGTCGTCGCCGTCGTCGCCGTCGTCGTCGTCGTCGTAGTTGTCGTCTTCGTTGTCGTCGTCGTCGTCGCCGTCGTCGTCGTCGTCGCCAGCGTCGTCGTCGTCGTCGTCGTCCTCGTCGACGTCGCCGTCGCCGTCGTCGTCACCGTCATCGCCGTCGTCGTCGTCGTCATCCCCGCCGTCGCAGCCGTCGTCCTCGTCGTCGTCGTCCTCGTTGTCGTCTCCGTCGCCGTCGCCGTCGTCATCGTGGCCGTGATCGTCGTCGTCGCCGTCGTCGTCGCCGTCGTCGTCACCGCCGTTGTCGTCGTCATCGTCGTCGCCGTGGCCGTTGTCGTCGTCGCCGTAGTTGTCGTCTTCGTTGTCGTCGTCGCCGTCGTCGTCGTCGCCGTCGCCGTCGTCGTCGTCGTCGTCGTCGTCGTCGTTGTGGTCGACGGCATCGTCGTTGTCGCCGCCGTCGTCGTCGTCATCGCCGTCGTCGTCATCGTCGTCGCCGTCGTCGTCGTCGTGGTGGCCGTCGTCGTCGTCACCGCCGTCGTCGTCGACGTCGTCGTCGTCACCGTCGTCGTCGTCGTAGCCGTCGTCGTCGTCACCACCGTCTCCGTCATCATCGTCGTCGTCGTCCTCGTCGTCGTCGCCGTCCTCGTCGCCTCCGTTGTCGTCGTGAACCGCCGACCTTGGACCCCTAAGGCGCCCTGTCCTGGCCAGTTGTTCGAGCTGCGTCCGTCAACGGCCGCCTCCCTGGAACGCACCCGCCCGCCCCGCTCCCCCGCAACCACCTGTGAAGCCTGCCCCAGCGGCGAATCGGGTCTCTGAAGCGCGGGCTGGGGCTCGGAATCCAGGGCGTCTGCAGCCGAGTGAACGACGCGGGGGGGCGTCCCCAGCGTCGCTGGGAGCCGCAGGAGGCAGGGCCCGCAACTGGCCCAGACGCCTGACGTCGCCCTTTGAAGCCTGGAGGTCCCGACCCCTTCCCGGGACTGGCTTTTCATCTCGCGATCCGATTTTTGGATTGTCCTGGGGCTAGTAAGGGCCCCCAGAGTCCGAAAATCGCACAAAACTTCTGGCGAATCGTAAACTGTTCGAGTGGAGCCATGCACCCCATCTTTCTGCGCCGTCTTTCGAGCTGGATCGATCCGTGAGGGCGCCAGGGCCCGAAACGAGGCAAAACCACCCGTTGTGAAAACATTGCGGCGTCAGGATCTCAGGGTCTGGACTGGCGTTCCTCCGAGAACCAACGCGGGCGTCATCGCGACGACGTGAGCCCGCCAGAGGCGCCAGCCCTTTTTACAACTCGAGGGGGCCCGAAGGTCGCATGCAGCCCATGCCCAGGGCGCGGGAGGAGCGCGGGCGATGATCGGCGACTCCGAAAGGGTATGGCTTCTGCAGGAATGGCGTTCGGGAAGCAACTGCTGGGAGGTCTTCGTCGGAAAGATTAGAGAGGATGAAGCCCCATTGCGGGGCTGTTTTGCGCCAGAAGGGGCTTCGGAGTAGGCGGGAGTCGGCCGGATTCAGCGGGGTCGAGCCACATGAAGCGGGATTGCGCAAGACTTCGGGCCAGGGCAAGATCAGAATCTGACTTCCCAGGAGTTGCATCCGTTTTTTTTCATCCCAGCGTACGAGATTCGTTTTGACTTCGCTTCCCAGAGCAAAATGACACCGCAGATGAGGAAAAAGACGCGTCTCGAATGCAACCTCTCAGTGTGGTGTGCATCTGGGTGGCGTGGATTGCAACCCGCGCCCGGGAGGGTGCGCCGCCAGAATATGTCCATATCCACTACCGCGGGGTCGTACCCCAAGGAACCGAGGAGCGATGGATATGGATATCTGGCCGCCCATGCGGGCGGGCAGATATCCATATCCACCACTCCTCGAGATCCCAGGGCACGACTCCGCAGCGGTGGATATGGATATGCTCTGGCGGTGGAGAGGGGGCGGGCGAGGAGCTCGACGGAGCTCTCCGCCGCGCCCGGGCGAGGGCTCGGCAAACCTGCGGCGCAGCGCGGTGGCTCCCACCGGCGCCCCAGCGGCGCCGACCGCAAACCGCACCCTAGCGCTTACACCCTGCGAAATGCTTAAGAAATCATGGGTTACGAAATTCATAATCTCAGAAATGGAATAAAACCCAGAACTTCTATCAAAATCTTGGGATTCATATTGGAAAATTAAGAATAATCGAGACTCTGGACGAAAACTTAGGTTTTCTTAAGCATCGCCTAAGGTGTAGAGGACCCCAGGAAACGGCAAGGCCGCGTTTTCTCACCGTCTTCGAGACGGTCTTCTGAGCATGGAAACGGTACAAAAAAACAGCGACCGGAAACGGCTGGGAACCAGAACCGGAAGAACAACGGTGACGGAGCGGGCACAAATCGGGTGACGGAACCAGCAAGGCAACTGCGAAACGGAACCGGAGACGGTCCTGTCGTGTCCAGGGCCCACGAAGCCCTGGCGTACCCACACCCTTTGTAGTCGCCGAAATGAGGACGAACAGCACGCCCCGGGCTCTCAGCTCCTGCACCAGCTCCACGGTGCGCAGCGACATGTACGCGGCGCCAGCCGTGCTGGACGGCAGCGCGATGCACTCGCGATCCTGGCCGCAGTCGTGGTATCGGTCGGCGGCGCGCGCAACCCAGATCTCCGACGATGATGTTTTTTCTCCGATCCCAATGCTCTCCCTTCTTTTCCCGACCGCCCTGCGGTGTTGGGTCCTCGTTTTGAAGAGACGGTCCCCGCGTTCCTCCTTCCTTCTTCCCCCTCCTCCTCCCTCCTCCCGTCATCCCCCCTCACTTGGGCACACCCCTCACACGTTTCGTGGCCCCGCAGGGAGAACCACCGAGGGCCCAAATGCAAGCGTTCGCACGCGGCCACCGCACCCATTTTGGCACACCCCTCACACGTTTCGTGGTCCCACAGGGAGCTCCTTCGAATCCGGTGCGCACAACGACTGTATTCACAACTGCATATGGTTGGGTCCTTCACCAGGCTAATTTCAGGGGCCAGTCTTCGCTGACGTTGTTATGTTTGTTGGTGAAGGCGGCCTGCCGCACGGCAGAGCAGGGACAAAGAACCGATCACAGTGCTCTCCCTTGATTTCGGCGTCTGGGGCCCGTTAGCGGGCCACGGGGCTATCAGACATTCATCCGGGAGGGCACCATGCCACGGAGAGACGAGGTCGGGACCCCTGGGGCCGCGCGCTGGCTCAAAAAGCACGTCGTCGGACGTCAAGGGAGGGGGTGGCGCGAGGGGGCCCGCTTTCCCAAAGAGGCACAGGGGGGGCCCTCAGAAGGGCAGAGTGGTAGGCCTGCTTTCCACCACCACCACCACCACCACCACCACCACCATAAGTTGGAGGAGGAAAGAGGAGGATGAGGAGGAGGAGGAGGACGAGGAGGATGAGGACGAAGAGGAGGAGGAGGAGGAGGAGGACGACGACGATCAGGAGGAGAAGGACCCCCTCCCCCTCAAACTTATGGTGGTGGTGGTGGTGGTGGTGGAAAGCAGGCCCATCACAGAGGCCCTCGTCGAAGGGCAGGGCGTCCTGCTGAGACGGCGTTTTAGACACCCGGAAGCCTTGTGAGAAAGCCCCCGCCTTCGTAGAAGCACCCCGCCTTCCTCGGAGGGCGGCCCCCCTCACATTAGGTCGGGCATGTCCCCCTACAGGCGAATTTGGAAGAACAGCTACAAATAGTCATCCAAATCACAAACAATCAAACAACGACAAATCGTCACCATATTCATTTACTACTCTTGACGATTCCTCCTGTGAAGGGACATGCCCGACTTACCCCTCGCGCCTCCCCCCACCGCCACCTGGACGGATTTCCCCGGGGCCGTAGGCGACCCGAGGAGGGGAGGGCGAGGCTGAGGAGAGGGAGGAGGGGAAGGAGGAGGAGGATGGAGAAGGAGGAGAAGGAGGAGGAGGAGGACGAGAGGAGGAGGATGGGGATGAGGGGGGGGGAGGAGAGGGAGGGGGAGGAGGAGGAGGAGGAGGAGGAGGAGGGAGGAGGAGGAGGGGAGGAGGAGGAGGAGGAGGAGAGGAGAGGAGGAGGATGATGAGGAGGAGGAGGAGGAGGAGGAGGAGGAGGAGGAGGGGGACGAGGAGGAGGAGGATGGAGAAGGAGGAGGAGGAGGAGAGGAGGAGGGGGATGAGGAGGAGGGGGAGGAGAGGAGGAGGAGGAGAGGAGGAGGAGGAGGAGGAGGAGGGAGGAGGAGGAGGAGGAGGAGGAGGAGGAGGAGGAGGAGGAGGAGGAGGAGGATGGGAGGAGGAGGAGGAGGGAGGAGGAGGAGGAGGAGGGAGGAGGAGGAGGAGGAGGAGGAGGAGGAGGAGGAGGAGGAGGAGGAGGAGGAGGAGGAGGAGGAGGAGGAGGAGGAGGAGGAGGAGGGAGGGGGAGGAGGAGGAGGAGGAGGAGGAGGAGGAGGAGAGGAGGAGGAGGAGGAGGAGGAGGAGGACGGGTCGCCTAAGCCCTTCGGAGGACGCCCCCCCCACCCCGCCACCCCGTGCGCGACGCCGCCGTCTCGCACGCGGCCGCCCCGGCGCACCTCTCAGGCCGACGCGGCCTGCACGGCTCTGTTGCCCCTGGCTGGGGTGGGCCCGGGAGCACCGTGCGCACGCCCCCCCTGGCACGGCTCCTGTTGGCCGTGGCCGCCGCTCGAGTAATGCGGGATGGCGATTAATAAAAAAATGGGAGAGAACGATAAACAATCTGCTAGTTCTGCACAATTTTCTGACTGGAGGAGAACGATTTAAAAACATAGTTTTCCAGCCCGCGGCCGGGTTTTTCTAATCGTCATCCCGGGCGCCGCCGCGTGAACACGACCCCCGGTCATTTACTAATCGCCATCCTCCATTATACGGAGCCGCCGCGACGCGAACCGAACGAGCGGCTCCACGTGGCCGGCTCGGGGAGAGCTGAACAGAAAAGCGTTGTCACCTCTTTGGGGGGTCGGCGTTTGCGTCCGCCCGCCTCCTCTGGTCGAGGCGCCCTCGCTCTGCTTCCGCCGACCACCCGCCAAGGAAGAGGGGAGAACTCATTCTTAGATCCTCGACGGCAAGGCTTCTGTGGAATGACTACCTACCAAGCCACCCCAACCCAACCCGAAGACCCGAATTTCGGCTTGGGGGGCTACGGGCTTCATATGTGTTTTTTCCAATGTTCCCCGACCCCCCCCCACACACACACACACACACACACACACACACACACACACACACACACACACACACACACACACACACACACACACACACACACACTGGAAATGGAGGGCAAATCGGGGCCTTTGGGTTGGGTTGGGGTGCTCTGGTGGGCGGTGATGGAATGCTCCAGGTGCAGAGTGCAGGTCTCGTCGCCCGCACCTCGGCCTCGTCCCCGAGCTGCCACGCGTAGTGCGCCAGCGTCCCGTCCACGTCCGAGAACACGATGCGCGGCGGCCCGCCCGGCGCCCGCCAGAGCCGCCGGGCGGCGAGGGAGCCTCCGAGGGCCAGCCCCGCGAGCAGGCAGAGCCGCCGCCGCGTCATCGGAGGAGGCCGCGTGGAGGCTCCCGCGCACTCGCTCGGGCGCAAGCCACACGCCGTCCGGCGCGTGGGCGGGGGAACAACAGCAAAACATGAGAGCAGCATGCGCGGCGAGGAGGAGGAAGGAGGGAGGAAGGAAGGCAGTGGCACCAGAATCGTGACGAGGAGCGGCCTGCCGGGGCTCACGGGCACGCGTCCTTGTGCTTTCATGCGAATTCTATCCAAGCTTGTTCGTCCTTGATGGCCTAGAGAAAGGCAGGGGAGGACAAGAGGAAGACGCCACTCCGAGGAGGACAGGGTGCCGATACCGCTACCGTTGCTTCGTTTTCCCCTGTTGGGGCCTTCTGGGAGGCCCCCGTGGCCACGGCTGGATTCGCTTCGTGACCCTGGTCAGCACGCACCCCAGGAGAGGTCCGTGGAGTCGCGGTGTCGGTATCTTTTCGTTCCCCCATGGGAGGGGATGAGGAGGACGCCGCTGAGGCTCAGCACGAGAGCTAAGATGCAGCCCGATAAGAAGCCAGGCCCTCGCCCTGGCGAACACCGTCGGGAGGGCCGAGGGCCCATTTTCATGTCCACGGCTTTGGTCCCATGACGCTTCCAACAAGCAGTTCACACCCTCACGCAAAGCTCATGGTTCTCAACTTGACTGTGGACTGTAGATGGGATGTGCCGCAAAGCACCCCTCCCAGAGATCTGAAGCCTTGATTTATCCGATGCCTTGCCATCGCGGGGACGTCCACTCCACGTACATGTTTCGACGTCGTGCGCACTCTTCCCGCAAGCTGATCCAAGATCCTCCTCGATGGTCCTGGCCGACAACAAAGGCACACGTCCGCGCGATGCCAAGATACTGGTCGCGACCCTGTCCCCATCTGGCCAGCTCTTCGTCCCGAGCACCCCCCGAGGCCGAATTATGGCAAAAGAGCTCCAGACCGATGTCTCCCATGCGGTGGAGGTCTGGGCGGGGGAGCTCCAGCGATTTTTTTTCTCCCCACAAGCAATCCTCGCGGCCATAGGGCTGGGCGAGAGAGCCAAATTAGAGAGCTGGGCGAGAGAGCCAAATTAGAGGAAGGAACAGCTGCATACCCTGGATTCCATAACAAAGCAGGGGGGGTCACACTTCAGGGGCGGGGCCTGATTGGAGCTGGCTCGGAGGGTCCCCAGTGGGGTCTGGGCACAAGGCCGCCCCCATCGTGGCTGGTCTGGGGGGGTTCTAAAACTGCTCGGCCGGGAGGGTTGTGACGTCCTCCCTTTTACTAGGGGGCCACATGCGAACCCAACCCCTACCCCCCAACGATTTCTGAGGGAGAGGGTGGGGTTCACTTCGTTCGGGAGCTCCGAGCGAAGTGTCGCATGTGGCCCCCTATTCATTGCGAAACCTGCTGGCAATCTGCGGCGGCCCCTCCTCTCTGGCGCTCGGAGCGCGCCAGGGGCGGGGCTGGAGGCGCCGCCCAGGGGGCCCTTTTGAAAAGCAAGTGTTCTTTACTCAAGCCGCTCACTGTGAAACTGCTTGGCCGGGAGGGCTGCGACATCCCCGCTTTTATTGCGGAAGCTGCTGGCAATCTGCGCCGGCCCTTCCTCCCTGGCGCTCGGAGCGCGCCGGGGGCGGGGCTGGAGGCGCCGCCCAGGGGGGCCCGGCGCCGATCCCCGATCCGAGGAGTCCGAGCGGAGCTCCGACCATGCACCGCCGAACCTATCGCCGATGCTCAAGAGAACGATCATTGAAGACACCTGGGCCAGCTCCCCGGAGATTTCGCATAAAAGCAGGAACACCTGGGCCAGCTTCTGCGGCTCGCGCTGGCTGGGCGAATTGTGCCCCAGAGACCGGGCCGGCCTCCCCCGGCAAGCTGGCCGAGAAACGCCGGCCCAGCTCTTCGGGAGGGGGTGTCCTACTCCTACCCTCGACTGCGCGCTCGTGCTGCCCTTCTTCTTGGAATCCTTGCTGCCACCGCCGCCCGCCGCAGTCACCGCTGGCAGCGGCGGCGGCGAGCGCCGCGAGCGCGGGGGGGCGAGAAAGCACGAAAAAAGAGAGAGAGAGAGAGAGAGCGGGATCGAGAGAGCTGGGCGAGCACGGGAGCCCCCCTTGTTCCCCTCGTCTTCCCATCATCATCATCATCATCATCATCATCATCATCATCATCATCATCATCATCATCATCAGCATCATCAGCATCATCAGCATCATCATCCTCCTCCTCCTCATCATTATAACCATCATCATCATAATCATCATCATCATCAACATCATCATCATCCTCATCATCATCACAATCCTCATTGTCACCATCATTAACATCATCAGCAGCAGCAGCAGCATCAGCATCAGCATCATCATCATCACCATCATCATCATCATCAGGATCAGCATCATCATCAGCATCGTCATCATAATTATCAGCAGTATCGTCATCAGCATCATCATCAGCATCATCATCGTCATCCTCATCACCATCATCAGCAGCATCAGCATCATCATTCATAATCATCCTCATCCTCATCCTCATCCTCATCCTCATCTTCATCCTCATCCTCATCACGATCATCATCATCATCATCATCATCATCATCATCATCATCATCATCATCATCGTCGTCATCAGCATCATCAGCAACATCGCCACCACGACCATCACCACCACCACTATCACCATCACCATCACCATCATCAGCATCAGCATCAGCATCATCATCAAAATCCGCATCAGTATCAACACCATCATAATAATAATCATTAGTATCACAATTCTCATCATCATCACGATCAGCATCAGCATCATCATCATCATCACGATCATCATCATCATCCTCATCCTCATCCTCATCATCATCATCCTCATCAGCATCATCACCAGCATCATCATCATCATCATCATCATCATCATCATCCACATCATCATCATCATCATCATCATCATCATCATCATCAGCAGCATCATCATCATCATCATCATCAGCATCAGCATCAGCATCAGCATCAGCATCAGATCAGCATCAGCATCAGCATCAGCATCAGCATCAGCATCAGCATCAGCATCATCAGCATCAGCATCATCATCAGCATCAGCATCATCATCATCATCATCATCATCATCATCATCATCATCATCATCATCATCTTCATCTTCATCTTCATCATCATCATCATCATCATCATCATCATCATCATCATCATCATCATCATCATCATCATCATCATCATCATCATCATCGCCGCCACCCGCTACCACCACCTCAGGCCCCAAGTGGCTGCGGCCGCATGCGCCCCCTCCCCTTGTCTGCACATCCCTCACATGTCTCGTGGCCCCGTAGGGTGCTCCACCTGAGGCCCCCTGGGCTGCGGCCACAGGCGTCCCCGCCACCAATTTCTGTACACCCGTCACACGCTGCGTGGCCCCATAGGGAGCCCCACGGAAAGCTGCAGCGGCTGCGGCCGCACGCGTCCCCGCCATTTAGGTCGGCACACCCCTCATACGCTTTGTGGCCCCATAGGGGGGCTGCGTTCGCATGCGTCCCCGCCACTGATGTCGGCACACGTATACACACCACACGTTTCGCGACCCCATAGGGCGCTCCACCGAAGGCCCCAGTGGCCGCGGCCGCATGCGCCCACGCCACCTATTCGGGCACATCTCTTTCACGCTTCGTGGCCCCATAAGGAGCTCCACCGAAGGCCCCACTGGCTACGTTCGCATGCGTGCCCCCACTCATGTCGGCAGATCGCTGCGATTGCATGCGCCCGCCGCACCCGTGTCGGTACACCCCTCACACATGCCGTGGCCCATTAGGGAGTTCCAGCGAAGGCCCCACTGGCCACGTTCGCATGCGCCCGCCGCACCAACTTGGGAACACCCCACCCAGTGGCTGCGTTCCCACGCGCCCGCCGCACCCATGTCGGCACACCCCTTACACGCTTAATGGCCCCATAGGGAGTTCCACCGAAAGCCCCAGAGGCTGCGTTCGCATGCGCCCGCCGCGCCCATATCGGCATGCCCCTCATACGTTCGTGGCCCCCTAGGGAGCTCCAGCAAAGAGCTCAGTGGCTGCGTTCGCGTGCGATCACCGCGCCGATTCCGGTACATTCCTCACGCGTCTCGTGGCCCCACAAGAAGCTCTGCCGAAGACGAGTCTCACAAGAGCGTCACTCACAAGTGCGTATGCTCGGGCCCTTCGCCAGGCTAATTCATTGAGAAACCATCGCGGGCCACACTAACACGCATCCGGCTTCGCGCCGGGGCACACAGACACGCACCGGGCCACACAACTACTTCATGGGCTACACAAACACGCGGTCGCACCGCCAGGGCCAGGGGTGAAACCACTCCAGGATTCGCACCCAAATTGTAGGGATGTCTCAGGCGGTTTGCCTGTTTCTGCCCACCAGACTGCGTCTTCTGACGGTCCAACGCTCACCGCGATATAGAAGACGCTGCACTTGGGCACGCCTAGGGGGGGCCGCCAGGGGTCACCCCAGGATTTGCGCCCAAATTGTGGTGATGTGTGGTGATGTCTCTAGCGGTTTGCCTGTTTCGCCCCCCCATTTTTTTCTCCCAGTTCCATCCCCTTTCCAGCACTGGGCGCCGTGCGTGCCACGGTGGGGAAGGAGGACGACGAGAAAAATATCTAGGTTTGAGTCGTTTTTTCGCAAGGTTCGGCCTCCGGTGACCATCCTGGCATGTTCTTCACCATTCCATCTTCCCCTGGGATACGGGATCTCGGTCACAGCTGTGCTTGCCGAGGAGTGCGGGGTCACGCTCCGAGAACAGTCACCGCGTTAGCCCTCCGTGGCCCGATGCCGAGCGCAGACGGCCTTGCTGGAGCTGGCCAGGAAGAGCACTGCCATTGCGCAAGCGGGCCCACGCTGCCGGCCCGATGCCAAGTGCTGACGGGCTCTTGGTTCCTTCTCCCCTCGCGCCCAGCCACGCCCTGCCCGGCTCGCCCCGAGCCCACCGACGCCCTGCTCCATACCAACTGCTGACGATCGCCTGACCGATCGGCCCGCATTGCAGACGTCTCGCCCGACAGCAACTCCCGACGGAGCTTATCTGCTCGGTCGGGAACAGGGCTCGCTCTGGCCGCCGGAGAGACGAGCGCAACAGTTCCCTTTTCACGCCGGTTGCTCTTGTCCGAGCTGCCGCAGTGAGAACGGCACAAGGCTTTCCTCCTCGCTCTTCCACTTGCGCTTCCCGCATCTCTCCTGGTCCAGGGGGGAAAGGCGTCACTGAAGTCGTCGTTGTCGTCGCAGTCTCTCTTGCCCCCGTCGTCTGCGCGGGCTCGCTCTCGCACCCAGAAGTTCAACAAAAATAAGAGTCCCTCAGCGAGACGTGGCAATAATATGAGATGCACAGATAGGGATATTCTCGTCGAGTTCTTTTTCAGATAGCTGAGGGGGGAGGGGGGGAGGGGGGCCAGTCGACTGGCACTTCGGTTTTTTCACAAGCCTCGGCCGCCGCAGCTGTCCGTTTCCTGCTCCAGCGACGCACTCGTTTTGCCGCATCTTCCAAGTCGTCAAATGCCTGCCAGAAGTCACACGCGACAGTGTCATTCGCCAACTCCATCCCCTCGGTCTGGAGGCGGAAGCGCACATGCAGCGTGCGGTCAGCAGGAGACAGGACCACGGTGGACAGCACCGAATCATTTTGGACGCCCTTCACAGATAAGGCGGCCTGCACTTGGGCAACTGAAAGCTGCAGGCCCTTACCGGATAGCAGTTCAGCCGCGTAGAACTCCTCGACGGCCGCCTGTCGCCACCTGCTGTCTTCGTTCAGCTTGTGCACGTTCCTGTGCGCCGCATCCACGTGCGGAGAGCCAACGACGCAGTGGTTCGCGTGCACCAGGATGCCCTCGAAGCTCACCGGGGACACCCAGATCTCCGAACGAGACCACTCCACGATGACAATCCCGTGGCCTGGTTGGCTCAGCAGCATCGCGGCACCAGCCCCCATGATTGCAACTCCAGGTGCAGTCGCACGCAGGCTCCTCAGCAATTCCAGAGCCTCAGGCAAGCGCTGGTCCCGAAGCAGCAGTTCCCAGAGCACCACCGACAGAGGAAGACCGCCAGCATCCTCTTGCGCCACATCGGAGCGCGGGTACAGCGTGAAACGAGTCACGCCAACTCCACCGACGCTGATCCCGATCGGGCAGAAGGTGCACGCCGGATCATAAACTAAAGCCGAGTGCTCTGACTCGCCGACCTTCAACCGCATGACCCGGTCCAGCTTTCCGTAGCCATAGATCCTCACGTCTACCTCCTCGGTCTGTCCGAGGAAATTAGACACGGCGCACGCCAAACCAGTGCAGCCAGATGGCACCTGGATGAGTGGGCTTCTCTCTACCTGCTGCCTTCGCGGCAAGAGCTCTGCAGCCTGCATCTCATAGATTGTCAACAGCCTCCAGAGTTCCGGCCCGGCCACCTCCGCAGCGCCAAGCAGGAACGGCGCAGAGTACTGACAAAACCCGCCCCTGCGTTCCACCACAGCGCAGCGTGCGGCGTTCGCCACCTCAGCCCACAACTTCGTGTCGACCTCCTTCCCAGTGCGGGCCAGGGGTACCCGCCGCTCAGCCGCCGTCAGTGTCGCCAGGCGCGAGCCGAGATCCTCGAGACACGCCGCAGACACGAGGCCCAGATCGCGCTGCAGCATGGCGTCTTCCTCGGCCGTCGCAACGAGCACGGACGGCTCCGGATGCCCCCTGCCAGGGGCACCGGCAGACGCACCGCTCCGCCAACTCGCCCAGCAGCTCTCGCAGTAGTATGCGGTCGCCCCCCAGTGCCCAGGCGGCACCAGCGAGCCACACCCAGCACACGGCGGGGACGGGCCACGGCCGTCCGACGACGGCGGCCCGCTCTCATCAAGCAGCAGCTGCGCGGCAAGCTCTGCACTCCCAGCTTCGTCCAGCGCCGCCCGACACTCGTCCAAGTCACGACCTGTCAGGGACACCAGGAGGGCCAGATGATGATCGAAGGAACTCATGGTCGCTACCGCGGCCACTGATCTGGTTCAACACACATGGAAGAAAAAGAAACCGTGAAGACGCTCGAGCCAGCCTTCTACAAGCATGTTCATGTTCACTTTGTCGTTCCTGATTTCTCGCATGAGAGCACGCCCTTCCTGTTGCGTCTGATCTGTCCTGGCTCTTTGCTGGGTTGGCACGATCCCCTCATAAATCTGAAACACGGAACGCTGCACAACTAGGGCGTATCTAACGTGCGAATATACCACCACTTTAGCAACAACTTGTAAACATACGACCTAGGCATAATACACGAAAAGCTGGACAAAGCCGATTTGTCACGAACAAATTGTCCTGGCGAAGGACCCAACCATGAAGCTCCCTATGGGGCAACGAAGCGCTGCACTGGGTGGGGGGAACGCTGTACTGAATGGGTGGTGTGCCAAATTGGGTTTCCGAGACGCATGCGGACGGTCCCACTGGGCGCTTCGGTGGAGCTTCCTATGGGGCCACGAAGCGCTGTAATGGGTGTGTGGAAATCCACATTGGGCTTCCGGGACGCATGCGGACGGTGGCACTGGGGCCTTCGGTGGAGCTCCCTATGGGGCCACGAAACGTTGTACTGGGTGGGAGGAAATGCCAAATTAAGTTTCCAGGACGCACGCGGACGGTCCCACTGGGCGCTTCGGTGGAGCTCCCTATGGGGCCACGAAACGCTGTACTGGGCGGGTGAAAATGCCACATGGGGCTTTCGGGACGCATGCGGACGGTGGCACTGAAGCCTTCGGTAGAGCTACCTATAGGGCCACGAAACAAACGCTGTACTGGGTGAGTGAAAAGGCCACATTTGGTGTTTCGGAACGCTTGTGGACAGTCCCACTGGGGCCTTCGGTGGGGCTCCCTATGGGGCCACGAAACGCTGTACTGGGTGGGTGAAAATGCCACATTGTGCTTTCGGGACGCACGCGGACGGCTGCACTGGGGCCTTCGGTGGAGTTCCCTATGGGGCCACGAGACGCTGTACTGGGTGGGCGAAAATGCCAAATTAGGCGCTTCGGGGGCGCAGGCGGACGGTCCCACTGGTAGTTTTGGTGGAGCTTCCTGTGAGGCCACGAAACGCTGTGATGTATGCGGGACGCATGCGGGCGGCAGCACTGGGACCTTCGGTGGGGCTCCCTATGGGGCCACGGAACATTATACTGGGTGGGTGAAACGCAGGAAGGAGGAAGGAGGAGTACCTCGAAACGCTGTACTGAGTGTGCGGGACGCATACGGGCGGCAGCACTGTGACCTTCGGTGGTGTTCCCTATGGGGCCATGAAACGATGTACTGGGTGGGTGAAACGCAGGGAGCAGGGGGAGGAGGGCCACGAAACGCTGTACTGGGTGGGGGGGACGCATACGGGCGGCAGCACTGGGACCTTCGGTGGGGCTGCCTATGGGGCCACGAAGCGCCGCACTGGGTGGGTGAAACGCAAGGAAAAGGGGGGAAGAGGGCCACGAAACGTCGTACTGGGTGTGCGTGACGCATGCGGACGGCAGCACTGGGACCTTCGGTGGGGCTCCCTATGGGGCCACGAAACATTATACTGGGTGGGTGAAACGCAGGGAGCAGGGGGAGGAGGGCCACGAAACGATGTACTGCGGGACGCATGCGGGCGGCAGCACTGGGACCTTCGGTGGGGCTCCCTATGGGGCCACGAACCACTGTACTGGGTGGGTGAAACGCAGGGAGGAGGGGGAGGAAGGAGGAGGAGGGAGGAGGGGAGGAGGAGAGAAGTGAGGACGCGGGGCGCTGTCTCTTCAAAACGTGGACCCAACACCACAGGATGGTTGGGAATGAAGGCATCGACAATGACGCAATGACACCTTTCAGACGAACGTATAGTCTGCAGCACTGTGCCATGCATTCTTCTGAGCAAACGCGTGCATAGCAGTCACGAACAGGCCGTCTCCCGATCTTGCCAAAACAAAGCCCCAACATGGCCTCAACATAATCCCACAAAACCCCACGGGTGTTCACAAGATGGTGCGGGATTGCCGGAAAGTGTAGCCACAGGCAATTTCACTCACGTTTCCAACCCGAACGCCCCGAGGCAACGGCGGGCGGGGCGACAGGGGGAGGGAGGGGGGTAAGGGAGAGACTTCAGACTATGTGACGTGAATCTTTTCCAATCATCTGTGAGCCCATTGTCTTCTCGCATCTGGTGAGTGGCAGCGGCGATGGGATAAGGAAGATAACAGGAACAGGAGGAATGAGGAAGAGTGAGGACGGGCAACAAATGAGGAAGCAACCAGCGCAAGCATTGAGACCTGCATTCGGTTTTTATTCGGTAAAGATCGCCGTTTTTGTACTCTTTTGCCCCAGCCATCCTATGGTGTTGGGTCCTCGTTTTGACGAGACAACGCCCCGCGTCTCACGCCTCCTCTTTCCTCTTCCCCCTCCTCCCCCCATCCGCCCCTCCCACCTCACTTTGGCACAACCCTCACACGCTTCGTGGCCCCATAGGCACCTCCACCAAAAGCCCAGCTGCCAGCGTGCGCATGCGCCCACCGCACCCATGTCAACACGCCCCTTACACGTTTCGTGCCACCATAGGGAGCCCCACCGACGGCCCTGGTGGCTGCGTTCGCATGCGCTCGCCGCAACAATTTCGGCACACCCCTTAAACACTTCGTGGCCCCATACGCAGCTCCATCGAAGGCTCCAGTGGCTGCTTTCGCATGCGCCCACCGAACCAATTCTGGCACACACCTCATACGCCTCGTGGTCCCATACGGAGCTCCACCGAAGGCTCCAATGGCTGCGTTCGCATTTGCCCACCGCACTCATTTCGGCACACCCCTTACACGTGTCGTGGCCACAGAAGGAGCTCCACCAACGGCTGCGTTCGCATGCACCCACCGCGCCTATTTCGGCACACCCCTCACACGCTTCGTGGCCCCATCGGAAATTCCACGACGGACCCATGGGCTGCGTTCGCATGTGCCCACCGCACCTATTTTGGCGCACGCACACACACACACACACACTCTCTCTCTCACACACACGCACACACACACACACACGCACACACACACACACACACACACACACACACACGCACACTCACACACACACACCACACGTTCTGTGGCCCCACAGGGAGCTCCACCGACGGCCCCAGTGGCTGCGTTCGCACGCGCCAATCTGATCCATGTTTGGCACGCCGCGCATACATAAGGGAACTCCACCGACGGCCTCGGAGGGGGGGGAGCGAGGATCCGGCCGCGGGGGTCCGGAAAGGGTCCGGGACCTGGGGGGGTCCGTGACCACCCAGAGCATCATCCAACCGCAGAAATGAAGGTTTAGGTTCTTGAGGGAGGGTTCTACCCTTAACTTAGTATAGCGCCAAGGTTCTACCCTTAACTTAGCAAACGAGGGTTCACCCTTAACTCAGAATTGCTAAGTTAAGGGTGGATTTCGTTGTGTTCGCCCTTACGGCTTGCTGAGTGAGTGAGGCAGCTGAATCACGTCACGACTTTTGATGTCAGCCGTTCAGATGCATTGTGGGTTTCGAGAACGCGACGGACGAAGGTTTGTTTGCAAGGAGGTCTGGCGTAAAATTCATGTTAAGGAAGAGAGCACGTGGTGACAGGATGTTGCAGGTTGTGCATTGCATACGAAATGAGGAGGGGCACGCGGTAAGAGCATGTTTCATTTCGGGGGTTCGATAGCACAGCGATAGCAGTTCAGAAAGACAGAGAGAGAGAGAGAGAAAGACAGAAAGAGAGAGAAGGGAGAGAGGTATAGAGAACGAGGATAGGGGATGTTTCAGTGTTGTGTGTTGCATGCGGCATGAAAGGAAAGGGCAGGTTGTAAGAACATGTTGCATTTGCGAATTTGATAGACGTCGATCGCCGTTCAGCGAGAAAAGGGGACGTTGGGGAGGAGGAGGAGGAGGAGGAGGAGGAGGAGGAGGAGGGGGAGGAGGAGGAGGAGAAGGAGGAGGAGAAGGAGGAGAAGGAGGGAGGGGAGGAGGAGGAGAGGGAAGAGAGGAGGAGAGGGAGGAGGAGGGGGAGGAGGAGGAGGAAAGGGAGGAGGAGAGGGAGGAGAAAGAGAGAGAGAGAGAGAGAGAAAAAAAAAAAAGAGAAAGAAATACATGAAGAGCGATAGCCATTCAGCGAGAGAGGGCAAGGATGTTGCAGGGTTGTTGCACGCGAAATGCATGGGGGCGCGCGTGGTCATGCATTGTGCGTCTGGGGGGGTTGGTAGCACGTCGATTGCATTTCAGCGAAAGAGGTGCGGACGCGAGCAAAAGGGATGGGCAGCATAGCGGCAGTTTGGGCGCGAGCAGCAACAACCGCGTCGAAGGGAGACGCGGAGGCGCGTCGCGAACTCCACGGCGTTTCCCGACCAGCTGCCCCCCCCCGCCGCCCGCCGCCCGCCGCCGCCACCTCGCGCCGAGGCAGCAGGCGCGTGCGGGGGGAAATCCGGTGACGACGTAGACATGGAGAACAGGACGGTGGAGGCGAGATGGAGGAGGAGAAGGGGAGAGGGGAGGAGGGACGGACGGATGGACGGACGGACCAACTGACGAGAAAGAGGAGGAGAACGAAGAGGAGAAGGAATAACCGGGCGGCAAGGACGAGGCGGGGGCTTCGTGGCAGGAGTCGCAGCAACAGGAGGATGAGGAGAACGAGGATGTAGGAGGAGACGGAGGAGGGAGAGGAGGGAGAGGAGAAGGGGGGGAGGAGAGGGAGGGGGGGAAGGTGGGGAGAGAAAAAGGAGGAGGAGGAGGAGGAGGAGGAGGAGGAGGAGGAGGAGGAGGAGGAGGAGGAGGAGGAGGGAGAGGACGAGGAGGAGGAGGACGAGGACGAGAGGGGGACGAGGAGGGGGAGGAGGAGAAAGAAGAGGAGCACCAGCAGCACACCCAATCATTGCCTTGCCGCCAGAGGCTGCAATGGCGTCGCCCCCGCCGTCGCCGATGAAATT